TTTTGTTTTGTTTTAATGAAATGATTGAATTGAATTGAATTGAAAAAATCTAAACTGTCTAAGATTTATTGAACATTTAAGAAATAGTTTTGGAGAATTGAATTGAAATCCATCCAGTGTAATCTGTTGGACTACGTGTTAATGGTGGTTTTTGCTCTGTTTCTGCCTCTGTAAAGGCTCCATGCTGATCCCTCGGACTTTCTCCGGTCACTTCGTCATGGTTCCTGAAGAGCCTGCAGAATACATCGACTTCTCTGTTTTGGACCAGATCGCTGATGGAGGTTCCGGCATGGAGGCGGAGCACGGGCCGTCGAAACGACAGGGCCACMGCAGCCAACGCCGTCTCTACTTTGTCTCGGAGGAGACCAAAGAATTTCTCCAGGGTGGCCTGGCAACCACCTTCATCCCAAGCRTTTACACGCTGGTCTTCATCGTCGGCGTGCCCCTGAACCTTGTTGCCACGGTGCTGTTTGCGCATCACATCCGTCCCAAGAAGCCGGCAGTGATCTACATGCTGAACTTGGCCTGTGCTGACCTCCTGTTCGGCCTGCTCCTTCCTTTCAGAATCGCCTACCATTACCAAGGCAGCGACTGGACCTACGGCTCCTTCCTGTGCAGGGTTGTCACTGCGGCGTTCCACTGCAACATGTACTGCTCCGCGCTGCTGGTGACGTGCATCGGCGTGGACCGTTTCCTGGCCGTGGTTTACCCCATGAAGTCCCTGACGTGGCGCAGCCCTCAGACGGCCTCAGCAGTCTGTGCTGCCATGTGGCTCCTGTCCCTGGGYGGAGTCGTCCCCCTCCTGACCTCAGAACAGACAGTCCATTTGTCAAACCTGGGAATCACCACCTGCCACGATGTGCAGGATGTGGAAACTCTGCACTCTTACTACGTCTACTTCTTTCCCGTCTACTCCTCCGTCTTCTTCTTCGTCCCTCTCGTCTTCACCGTCGTCTGTTACGTACGCATCGTCCGAGCTCTGGCTGCRGCCAACGTGGAGAACCGCTCCAGGAAGACTCGGGCCATCGTGATGGCCGTGGTGGTGCTGCTCGTGTTTGTGGTCTGCTTCACTCCCACAAACGTCCTCCTGATGGTTCACTACGTTCAGGCGACACACACCTCCGGCGACGGCTCCTACCGGGCCTACCTGCTCTCCATGTGTGTGTGCAGCCTGAGCTGCTGCCTGGATCCTCTCCTCTATTACTACGGCTCGTCTCAGTGTCAGAAGCAGGTCGCCGCGCTGTTCCGGTGCACGAGACTGGCGAGAGGAGAGAGCGGCTCAGAGACGCGCAGCACCAGAACCACCGGCTCAACTATCAGCAGCAGGTCCTGCAAGATGGAGAGTGTGTGTACCGACGTAGGGGGACAGTACAACAGACTGGACACTTGAGGAGCCGGTCTCGGTTTAATCTTAAATTTCCTCGTAAGTCCACAGAAGATAAATCAAGCAAAAGTTTCCGATGTAGCCGAATGGGGGCCCACTGCTACTCTTGGCGTTAGCAAACYAAAATCAAAAGCCATGACAGAATGTCTATTTAACAAAATGCTGTAACATAGGAGCAAGAACTGTTCTCTGATGTTGGTTATATTCAGAGGTGGGCAGCAATAATCTAAATATTAGTTGCACTAACCCTAAAGCACTAACTCAAATATTTAGGTCCNCTAACACACTGAAAAATTAGCACAAGCTAATTCTAAAGCGTTAATATACCCAGTTGATGCACGGAACATTCTTCAGAGTCAAGACAGTATTTACTGTGTGCAGAATGCTGTCACTTAGCGCCCTTGGCAGGCCAAAAGGGAGTCATCCGCAGGCCACATTTGGCCCTCGGGCCTTCACTTTGACACATGTGACCTTGTAGATAAGTGACACACACATGAACAAAATGTGTGACAGCTTTCACCCTCAACTGTGAATGATAATGTTGATCAATAACATTTAAAGACCTCAGTTAGTGCTTTTAAAT